CAACACTTTAACAACCATCATTACTACCCTATAATACTACCACTTCCGTCCACTTTCAACCACCACCACCCCACAACAACATCAACACTTTAACAACCATCATTACTACCCTATAATACTACCACTTCCGTCCACTTTCAACCACCACCACCCCCAACAACATAAGGAACTTAAGATTTGCAAAATCTGCGACGGCGACGTCAACTGGAAGTTTAAATCACTTCACTTTGGAGTTTCGAGTCTTCAAAGTCTGTCTTCCCTGTGGATGAGTTGACTTTACTGACAATGTTTTGAATGAAATCTTCAATGAACAGGACTCCAAAGAAAAATTATTTACACTTCCGGTTGACCTCGCCGTCGTAGATTTTGCAAATCTTAAGGTCCCTATTACTACTGTCACTACAACCATCACACCACTATTTTCACTACCACAATTGCTCTCATCAAAACATCGCGTATTTGGTTACTAAAGCACTGGACTTACCCTTTCGAGCGCACAGACTTTGATGACTTCATTATACCTTGACTCGTCATAATCATTACCGAATATGATGTTATTCCTTAAGGAACCATTGTAGATCCACGCCTGCTGAGAAGAGTAAGCAATCTTGCCCTTTACGTTGATGGTTCCCTCGATCAGCGGTAACTCACCAAGAATCGCCATTAACAAAGACGACTGAAAGCAATATAAGATTTGTTTAGAATCTTTTACGTCTCCATGACAACTTAAGTTTTTTATGACAACCCAGTTATTGCCAGACACGTTTCCTTGTGTCAGGCTTCCGTCCGTCAACATTTGAATGACCTGGGTTAGTAATTTGGCAAAAACAACCAAATGGTTGCAAAGTTTTCCAAAAAAAAGTCAAACATCATTGCCCTCTGAAAATCGTAGAGGAAGAAAAGAAAAAAGGCTAGATTTAAAATGTATCTAGGTGACTTAAACCCATTTTGGAATAAGAATCTCTTTATTCTGTGATAATGTAAAGACAGTAAACAAAGAAATAATACTCAAGTGAATGACGAACTCTAACCTTTCCAGCTCCAACAGATCCGACGACAGCGAGAAGTTCTCCCTATGGAATGGAAAACAATATACTTTAAAGAATGTAATCCTTTTTACTTCTACCGTCATATTAATGATTAGTCAATGGTTCTATACGTAGTGCGCAACACAGGAAAACCCATTTAGTGCTACTAAGCCGTGCGCCGTAAAAAGAAAACTAATTCAGTGCGTGTATATGTAGTGCGCTACGCAGAGGAAGCCATTTTAGAGCTAGTAAGCCGTGCGCCATGCAAAGAAAGCCATTTTAGTGCTATTAAGCGGTGCGCCAATTTAGTGCTTCTATATGCAGTGTGATACGCAGGTGAAGTCATTTAAGTGTTACTAAGTAGCTGTGTACAAAATCCATATTAGTGCTTTGATGTGAATAAGCGACGTGAATTGGAAGCCATTTTGATGCTACAGCGACTTGTGTAATGGAAGGAAAACACAAAGATCACAAAACAAATATCAATTATATGAGAGACATACCTGGGATATCTTGAAGCTGATGTTATTTAGAGTAGGTCTGGAGATTTCCTGTACAAAACCGAGAGAATTTGATATAAATATATTTACAAGGATGATGGCATGCGTCGAAGGAAATGAAGAATGATTTGACGGCTAACTTACAGATCAAACCCTGAAACAACCTCTGGGCCGATCAAAGGTAGGGCACAGCTACCTCACAGATCGAACCCTGAAACAACCTCTGGGCTGATCTAAGTCAGGGCACGGCTAACTCACAGATCGAACCCTGAAACAACCTCTGGACTGATCGAAGTCAGGGCACTGCTAACTCACAGATGAACCCCGGAACAACCTCTGGGCTGATCAAAGTCATGGCACTGCTAACTCACAGATGAACCCCGGAACAACCTCTGGGATGATCAGAGTCATGGCACGGCTAACTCACAGATAGAACCCTGAAACAGCCTCTGGACTGATCTAAGTCAGGGCACTGCTAACTCACAGATGAACCCTGAAACAACCTCTGGGCTGATCAAAGTCAGGGCACGACTAACTCACAGATGAACCCCGGAACAACCTCTGGGCTGATCTAAGTCAGGGCACGACTAACTCACAGATCGAACCCTGAAACAACCTCTGGGCTGATCTAAGTCAGGGCACGACTAACTCACAGATCGAACCCTGAAACAACCTCTGGGCTGATCAAAGTCTGGGCACAGATTGAATTGGAATTTAGCATGTTAGGTTTTGCGGAGGGAGGAAGACCAGAGAACCCAGAGAAAAACCCTCACATCAAGGTTAACTGAGGCTTATCTTAGTTTACTGACACGTGATGCCGAGTACAGGAATCGAACCCTAAAACCCTAGAGTCGAGTGTACTAGATACTAGACTATACTAGGCTACGTCACCCTTGATTTACGCAGATCAATTACTTACTTCATTCCATGATGCTTTGATCTCTTCAGTGACAACTCCACACTGTTCAGGTTTTGGTCTTAACTTTGTTGTGATCAGACCATGAGAATGAAGCTCATCCATAGAAAGCAATTTCTGAAATAAAATATCAGATACTTAGTATTTATTTTACTGCTCGAACTACTCCAGCTACTCTGACTACCGCTACTGGTGTGGGGGGAGAGTTTACGTATTTGTCATTGTTTATTTCGTAGTAATAACAACGTCGGATGTTGTTGTTGCTCCTGCTGCTGTTGTCGCGTTGTAGTTGCTACTGGTGTTACTGTAGACGGTTAACAGTCCCTGTTTTCTCTACTCAGTCGAGTCGCATGCCGCTTCAAACTCGTCACCGCTGTTTCAAGTTATGAAAAAACCCGGCTGAGTTACAAGGGATAAGAGAGACTGTTAAGGACGTCATTGTTGAAGTCGTGTTGAATTATCGTTGCAGCTGTTGATCAAATTGTGGTCGTTGTTGCTAATGCCCGGAATTGCTGTAGCTATATATTGCACTTGACGTTGTCGTTGCTGGTGTCGTATAGTCGTTGGCGCTAATGCAGGTGTTGTTGCTGTAGTGGATGTATACAATGGATGTGGTGGACGTCAATCAAAGTGTTGCAATAACATTGTCGGAAAACACAGAGTTTACATGTATGAGGCCACGCCCCTATGCCGGAATGCCATAGAAACGCTTTAATTGACGTCCACAAAAACCCGCCTAGTTTGTCGGAAAGAAGATTCATTCAACGCCAGGGTTTAAAATAATTGCTGATCATTCTCCGGTCATAATCACAACTAAATTAGTTTTAGCTTAGTCATACCTTATTTCTGGCTAAACGTTATTAGTCTAAAATGACCGGCAAAGCAAAGATTTGACCAGACAAGTCTCAGTTCTAGCCCGACAATGTCCAATGCCCGGCCGTTATTTCAAGCCCTGTAACGCGTGCTATTGAGGACGAATGTAACACAAGACAAAGTGTTTAACAAGTGACTGAACCACCTCAAATCTTTACCTGGATTCTCTCAATAGAAACCCTTCCCTCATTCATCAAGGTGATGCCGATAGGAAAGAACAAGGTCATGTTGATGCGAACAGAGTTGTACAATGCCATGGAGGTGAAGACCTTCTGTGCCGTGAGAATGTTGCCCGTCAGAACGTAAGTCAGGAAGGTGACGTACGAGATGAGAGCAGCTGAGCTGAAGAAGAACGCCATGAAGATGCCGCGTATGGATGCCAGCTTCAGGAACCAGCTTAACTCGTTTCTGGACATAACATGTATTTACAAAGACTATTTATTTTCACAAGAAAAAACAAAAGGGAGCAACTGTCGATTATTGTCTATGAAGGTTAAATATATAGGCTAAAATGTCCTGCGCAGCAAACAGAGTCCCCTTTTCGAAGTTCAAAAAAAGAGGCTAGACTAATGACTCGGCGTTTTTACTCTTGATTTTTTTTCGTGAACAAAGCTGCTACGTGCCACAATCCTCGAAAGAAATCTGGTGTGACTGTGAATAGCTCGCGTTACAAATGTGACGTGACGCGACCGACAAGAACGGTGCCGCGTATAAGCATTTGCATTAGCTGAGCAGTGATCTCTTGGGATGTGATTGGTTCAAACGATGTCGCTTATTCCATAAAGTGATGATGACGTGATAGTCACGAAATCTATTCTAAACGTGACTGTGATGGTGTCACATATGAGCATTTTTATTGGTAGAACAGTGATCTCATGCGATGCGATTGGTTCGAATGATGTGACGATCTATTCCGTGACGAACACCTGCGCCTTTACTTCTGCGCGCTACCATGACAACTGGTGTCCGAGATTGCTGTCCACCTAATGTTCAGATTTCAGGGCTTTATTGTCATTTTTTAAAGATAAAATATAGAATATTCATACATTCCAGTGAAGGTCTGTGGAATTTTAAAGTGTTTGAATCGTTGAAGAGGGTATTCTTTACTTTACCGTTGGTATTTGTGAATATTTAGACACTGATACTTAGGCTAACCCTGAGTAAATGAGTCTGTAATCAAGGAACGCAGCAGTTAATTTAGAACTTGAAAACTAGGCCTATTACCTTCTGATGGAGTCGACCTTCTCTGCGAAGGGGAGTTCCCATGTGTACATCTTGATGACACTCATTCCACTGATAATCTCATTCATGGCCTTGACCCTACGATCCACCCATTGTGAAGCTTTACGCCTGAAGATTGTAATACAGTAACAAGCAGTCGAATTAAGAGCAAACACGAAACATTGACAAAACGAAAACATCTGAACATGCTTATAATCTACAGAACCGAGTGCTCTCACAGCTACTCAACCGGTGCTTCCATTGGTAAGGTTGATTTAATCACAAAGGAAGATTTTTTCACGTAGTGTACAGATTGGTGCTATCAGAATGGCACCCACCTGAGCTATCCCACAATACTTAGATATAGTAGTTACCATAGCAATGTACCAATTATAAGGTAGTGTACAGATACCTTAATCCCATCAGAATGGCTCCCACCCGAGCAATCCCACAATACTTAGGTATAGCATAGTAACCATAGCAATACACCAATTATAAGGTAGTGTACAGATTAGTGGAATCAGAATGGCTCCCACCCAAGCAATCCCACAATACTTAGGTATAGCATAGTTACCATAGCAATACACCAATTATAAGGTAGTGTACAGATTAGTGCTATCAGAATGGCTCCCACCCAAGCAATCCCACAATACTTAGGTATAGCATAGTTACCATAGCAATACACCAATTATAAGGTAGTGTACAGATACCTTAATCCCATCAGAATGGCCCCCATTCTCATCTGCATAGGAACAAGCAGCATCACTACCCCCATTCCTGCCAAGGCCGACACTCCTATCTCTCTCCATAGCAGGTACAGGACTATCAAAGTCTCTATAGGACCAAGGATGATGTAATGTAAGAAGAATGTCACCTGCAGAACAAAATATATATAAATGAGGTTAAAACAGCCAGCTTTGATATGTAGAGACAGAATGCTTACATTCACTGCTATCTGCATTATAAATTTAAAAAAGATTTTTTCTAATATTTCTTTTTAATATTTCTACGCCATTTTTTTCTCCAGTATATTTATAGAATACCTCGCAAATCGTATGCACATACTTAATAACCATGACTTCTATTATTGTATGTGTCGTTATTCGAAGAATTCCGACAACTTCATATCATTTGTATAATTTTTTTTTAATTGCTCCTTTTCTTCTCCAATCTTATCTATAGACTGAGGTGTAGCGGATTTCGTATATATATATATAAAACCTTCACTCACCCAGTCAAACTTCTGAGTATCAGTTGAAATAAGATTCACAATGTAGCCTGTTGTTGTCTTGGCGATGGCTGCATGGCTGAGCTTCAATACCTGATATAAAAAACATATATATACTAGGTGAATGAGTATTTGATGCAATGTTTATAAACACTGATGCCATAAGATGTGAACTATCTGTGTAAAAAAGCAGGATAAAATAGCAAACTTTATATGAGGAGACAACTAGCTAAAAAAACTAGTGTGAGCTGCATCGGTGTTTCTAATGAAACAGTAATGATAAAAAGGTAAATTATACAACATGAAAAGATGAAAAAACTTACTGACGTTTCGGACGCTAGTCCTTCGTCGGAGTGAAAATTTTTATATATTGTGTTGGCAACAAAAAACGACACAAAATTTTGGGACTCTTGGAAATTATCTTCCTATTTTTGTTTCCCTCAAATTAATATTGTAACCTGGCTTATGAACAAGCTTAGAAGAAATTGTGGATTCCATGACTTATTGGTTAGATTGTACAATAGATTTTTTGCTAGCAATTTATATGACAATTTGTAAAAACGAATTCCATTATCTTTACCTTATTATAGACAAGGGATGTACATGCAATCCTAATACGCATGCCAAACAATTGACGCATAAATGTGAAGGGATTCATGAGAAAACTATTAAGGATTGCACAGATTGCAACTCCTAGTGCATACATGTAGGCTTCTGTTTGGGTGACTGTTGAACCAATGGCAAAGTAGTTGACTAGTAAACCAAGAAAGAGAGGCTGGATAATCCTAAGAGTGTCCTAAAATAAAAAAGAAAGTTCATGAGAAAGTTTTGATTGATTCAGAATTGAATCTACTTTTCTGCTGATAATGATTAAAAACCAAAATATTTCATCATCATTATTTGCCAACAACATTGATACTATTGGCTCTATTGTCATCATTACCCTCACCACTACCCAACAACACATTGGTGGATGCAGGATTTTTTCTAGGGGGGGGGGGAACGGGTTGCATCATCCAGGATTTTTGTTTTAGGAGGGGGTGCACCCTTTGATTGCAAACTCAAACACCAATAATGCAGTATATACCAGCTCATCTAAGGGGTGCAACTCCCCTAGATCTGCCCCTGCGAAAACATCTCTGCCATCTACCACACCAACAACCATTATCACCACCATCATTATCACTACCACCATTATCACAATCATCTTCATCATCTCCATCATCAATACCAATATCACCATCAGCATAATAACCACCATCTCCACCACCACCACCACTACCACCACCATCATCATCATAAGTCCACTCCATCATCATTACCATCAATATCACCATCATCATCAACAACAACAGCACCACCAACAAGGGCAGATCCAGCCAAACTTTTAGGGGGGGCTAATTGAGTTTAGGGGGGGCTAATTGAGTTTCTTCCGTTAACACAACGGAAAACAATTAAAAAAAGCATCTAATTCTTCAGTTTTGTTTTGTTTTTTGTTTTTTTCTGCTGAGGGGGGGGGGGCCTGGATTAGTCTCCTCAGCAGCCGTTCTTAGTGATCCGCCCTTGACCAATCATGATTATGATTATATAAATCATCACTTCTTATTCTTTTGAACAACGAAATAAAGCAAGGCTGGCACATAAGATACTCCTCATGAACTTGAAATTATAATGGATGGCTTCCACTCCAATAGCATTCAATTATACTTACTGTAATGATTGCAAAGATTCCTAATAATGTATATCTAAATCCAAAAGTCCTAACAACAGCCTTCAGTAAGCTAGGCTTGTATGAGGTTCCCTCTGATCTTGACACTTCTTTGTCCCATTCTCTATTGTTAGAATCAAAAAACATGTAGTCAACATGAAATGATCAGAAATAACAACAAACATGTAAAAAACCTAAATTGTTATACAGCTCGATTCCCAACCTTTTTGCAACATTGCTGCAATCATTAGATTCATTTGAAGTAGAATTAAGTTCTACTTTTCACCGTGATTGCAGCAACTTTATTTGCTTCTCTGAGTTTGAGGAAAAACTGGGTTGCAGGGCTTAAAATGATGGGTGGACATCGGACAATGTCCGCCCAGAATTATTGTAGCTTGTCCAGTAAAATCTTTGCCTTGCCGGTCATTTTGACTAGTAAGGTTCAGCCAAAAACAAGGTATAACCAAGCTAAAACTAAATTGACCTGTGATCCCAAGCGGTGACTTATCGGCCGTTATTTTAAGCCCTGGGGTTGAGTTGGTATTACGGTGCATTGTGGGACTGTGTTAGGTTACAAAACGAATGCCTTCTTTGAAATTTGTCCCCTAAAACAGTCTCACGATGCACTTTAGTGCTAATTACTCAACCCATTTTAATTTGTCCTTAATCTCGGAACGGCTAATAGATATGCCTCCAGCAATTGCTGTTATGACATCTTGGGCTTTATAAAATCATTGTCCAAGACAATCTTATTAAAATGTGTGGAATAAGGAACATTGCCTACTGTAATATATCTTGTCTATGCAAATGCAACGCACAGTATATTTTTTCAATGGTGGAGTATGGATAAATAATTAATGTTAACCTTCCAGTAAACTGTCCTAATACATCCAGTTAAGAACAAAAACTTGATTGGGAAAATAAATACATTTGGTAACATACCCTTGTAGTTTTTCACCAAGGACATCAGTGGATTCATCTGGTCTTAAGCCGTAGAAATCTGTTGCTTTTAAAGGACGTTTGTTACCCAATGACAACAAACCACTCAACCATCTGATAACATAAGTCAATTTATTTGTGAAAGTTTATTATCTTTATAACATTGAATGAGTAGAGGTAGGGTGTATTGGTGGGTTGTCAGTAAGGTGTTGGTGGGTTGTCAGTAAGGTGTTGGTAGGTTGTCAGTAGGGTGTTAGTGTGTTATCAGTAGGGTGTTGGTGAGGTGTCAGTAGGGTGTTGGTGGGTTGTCAGTAGGGTGTTGGTAGGTGGTCAGTAGGGTGTTGGTGGGTTGTCAGTAGGGTGTTGGTAGGTGGTCAGTAGGGTGTTGGTGGGTTGTCAGTATGGTGTTGGTGAGGTGTCAGTAGGGTGTTGGTGGGTTGTCAGTAGGGTGTTGGTAGGTTGTCAGTAGGGTGTTAGTGTGTTATCAGTAGGGTGTTGGGGGGCTGTCAGTAGGGTGTTAGTGTGTTATCAGTAGGGTGTTAGTGGGTTGTCAGTAGGGTGTTAGTGTGTTATCAGTATGGTGTTGGTGAGGTGTCAGTAGGGTGTTGGTGGTGTCAGTAGGGTGTTGGTGAGGTGTCAGTAGGGTGTTGGTGGGTTGACATAAGCGATCATGAGATGGTTACATTTGATGTGATGTTAAAGTGTAAAAGGAAAAAGATCCCAAAACGTAAAGTCTTCTTACAAAAAAAAGCCAACATCGACAAGATGAAGGATGATATCTTGGAATTTTCACATTACTACAAATCTAACCTATCGTCAAAATCAGTCGACGAAAAATGGTCGGAGTTTGAAAAAGCAATCAAGACTACTATGGAGGCGAATGTTCCCTGTAAAACCACATCTTCTCGTTTTAATTTACCTTGGTTCAATAGAAAGCTTCGCAGGATGTGCAAAAAGAAACAACGTATCTATAATAAGGCTAAGAAATCGAAGAATAAGAAACACTGGGATAGTTATAATCTAATGAAGAAAAATCTCCGTCAGGAAATGACTAAAG